ACAGACAGACAGACAGACAGACAGACAGACAGACAGAAAAATTTTCTCACATGAAAACCTTAACTCATGTCTCCTTCATGAAACCGGAGGAGCCTAACAACCTCACCATAGCCTCCAATGAAGAGTGGCCACAAGACATGAAGATTTCTTTGTTCGAGCAAAGTCTCATCTTGCACCATGACACAATCAGGTCATGCAAGTGCTGAAGCTTAGAGGTGTTTAAGAGAGTAACAGACACATAAAAAGGAGTAGAGATAAGTTTTTTAGTTTTAGTAGAGGTTTTACGACGCTCGCAACTGCATACTGTCATATGAGCGCCAGAAGATTAGAGCTGTTACATGAGAGTAACAAACATAAAAAAAAGAAGAAGGGGGGATAAGGACGATAGATGTTTGAGAGGAAAGAAGAAGTAAACCACACCAGAGCACCTGCCAACCACTCACGGAAGAGAGATAAAGGTGATAGATATTTGGTAGGAAAGAAGGAGCAAACCACAGCAGAGCATCCACCAACTGTTTGAGTAAAGAGAAGCACATCCCCATAAGAACAGGTTTTGCGCATGATGAAGAAAGTCTTGATTACAGAGGGTTTGAGTTGAGAGAAGCACAGGGGATCAATAAATGTACTGGTAGTATTCTTCGCTTTTTATTAATAAATGTGAGGCGTGCTGACAAAATGAGTAACTTCTTGCAATCCACAAATGGAGACATTGGCTAAAAATAGACACACGGGTCAAATTTGTAAAATTTTTATAAAAGCCATTTTCTTTAACTATTTTATTATTTCATACGAATAAGTTGTAAAAACTTCACCTATAAACGTGAATATCTTTTTCCATTAAAGGCTTGAATCCCTAGACGTATCTCATTTTGTATGCACGCTCCACAAATTATATGAACAACTGACCTGGGGAAATCGAGGTTACTAACTTCATGTGAAGAAGTGCTGAGCATTTATTCGCCACCCAATAAATCCCACAAAGAAAAATGAAAATGACACCTGCTGAAAGTAAGTTAAAAATGTTATTAGCTCACCTTTTTAGGGTAAAGGTTAAAGATTTTGGCAGCAGTTGTACTGGTCACAGCTACATATCTGCATGGATCCATTTTTCCAGCGTGCTGAAAGAGACAAAGCAAATGAGAAAAATGAATGAATTGACAAAGAAACGAATACTGAGCATTCAAAGTTCTTTCAAAGTGAAAATTGAATCAACTGTTAAATACTGTGCTTCATGTGTTGAGAAATTCATAATCATTTCTTGCTTATTTTGACTTTTAATCTTCCAGGTGTTAACAGGGTTTTGTTAACTTCACATCATAGACTTAGATAATTTACTAAAATTAAGTTTTAAAAAATAACCCCAAAACCCACGCCACAGTTTTGTAAAAGAATTCAAAGTTCTTCTTTTCCCTTTATGCACCCAGCCCACTCCCTTTTTTTGGTCCTTTTAAAAAATAGATTTCTGCATGGATTTCACTGAAAAATGTTGTTAAAAGGAAAAAAATATATAGTAAATTTGCCATTTCCAAGGACACTCAAGTCACTAGATTTTGGCAACCATTTTCTCGCAAATTTTATCTCGACACTAAACAACCACACCTCATCCAATTGTAAATATCTCCACCTCTATTCAAGATACACAGACACATTTTTCATCAAAACTACAGCAAATTAACAGGTTCTATTAAGATTATGTCAAAGACTTCATACGTCCCAAAAATTGACAAGCATCTGCATCGTATCATGTTGTGAGTTGTGACACATTCTTATTGTTTGCCAATCATATTTTTGCAACAACAACAAAAACAACAACAACAAAACGCCAAAAAACAAAACACAGCTGATAAAAACCTGTAAATTCTTTTCCATATCCACAGGCCAAACGGGCTAGAACTCAAATGGCTGCTGGATCGGACGGACAAGTAAAAGGAAAAGGAAAGTAAAGCAACAACCCCCCCCCCAACAAAAAACCAATTGATTTTTGTCTACTGACCACTCCCTTCTCCCAGATGATGGACATGCGGTCTTCAACGCCATTGACCCCTGTGGGAATCCAGCGGAAGTCGTCCTTGCCCAGAGCCTTCTGGTCAGCGTTGAACGTGCAGTTGTCCGTGCCGGTCACCTGAAGGTCGTTGCTGGGGAGAGGAACAGTTACAGTTAGTTTTAGTAGAGTTTTTACGGCGCTCGCAACTGCACAAGGTCATTTGAGCGCCAAGGGGTGGATGTCAACAGAGAAGTCCTTACAGGGAATCAGACTTACTCTGCTCACCTCTCTAGCTTCAACAGCACAAAGTCTGCTTCGACTATCAAGGCCCCCCGGAGATCGCGGGCCACAAGAGTGTGACAAACATACAAAAGAAGTAGAGGAAAATGACGATAGTAAGGATCAGGGTACCCTTCTCCCTCCGAGACCTAACATTGACAACACACTCTATGGAACATTACAGCAACTGCAGCAGACCTGCACTTATCACTACATGGCATTGGACAGAAGGGCGAGAGCCCAGCTGTTGCTGGATCGATAACAACAACAACAATAACAACAAGGATCAGGAAAGAAAAAGCAGCAGTTCCCGGTTGCAGTTCAGGCAGTTATGAGCATGACATTGATGAATCGGCCCATTTACAATTCTACGGTGAATAAGAACATGTTAATGTCCCCCCCTTTGGGAATGGCTTAAAGACACTTCAGTCAGTAGCACTGCCTCCGGGGGGAACAGAAATATACAGTACCGATTAAGGCTTCGTTAATAAGTGGCATGTCACATGTAGGCATCTTTTATTACACACACACACACACACACACACACACACACACACACATGGACACAAGTGGAATCTTTTAACCCTATCCGTATGACCTGGGGTAATTTTGTACTTCCAGGGTTGTATTCTTCACATTTTAGAATATTTCTAGTACGAAGATCTCTTTGAAATTTCAGTATTTCTCAAAAAATCATTTTGACAGACTGCTAGGCAAAGCGTACGGATCGGACAAACGAGTAAAATTCCTCCTTGGAAAGTGGTGGCACAGAGTTCCCCACGTCGTATGCATACGATAGTAAAACACGACGTACGGATAGGGTTAATAATAAGTGGCATGTCACATGTAGGTATTCACGTACCTTTTTACAAACACACACACATACACACACACACACACACACCCACATAGACACAAGTTGGAAAATTTAAGAGGCGGACTTCTGATCCTGATTGTCAGTGCCAACCCAAGCTGAGAGAGAGGGATAAGATACAACATCCCAGCGGAAAGACTGAGATACTCAATAAATATTCTACCCTTTCGGGGATGAAACTCAGGTCTCCTGCATGCGAAAGCGAAGCGTCTAACTGCTAGAATACAGACGCTGGTGTAGTGTTAGTGAGATATTGTGTAATATATAACATTGATAAACTAAAGAATGTATGTATTCATGTTCATACATATGCTGCTAAAGACTAAATGTGAACCATGCTGAAAAAATGAGTTACCTCTCGCAATCCACAAAAGGAGATATTAGCCAAATATTGAATTGGCACTAGGGTCAAATGTGTAGATTCTCTATCGATGCCATATTTTTTATGCTTTATAATATTTTATACTTGCACATTGTAAAAACTTCACCTATAAGCGTGATGTATCTATTTCCATAGGGCTCAAATATGCGAAGTTACTAATTTTGTCAGCATGCTTCACAAATTTCCCATCAAAGATAAATAAATAAGCACCATTTTTATAATTATCTATTTTTTTCACTGACTTATTCATTTATCCATTTTTATTTATAATCTATATACTAGAAAGTGGCTTAACTTACTTGGCCAATAGATCCATCAGGTAGGATGGTGTGGAGGGGTCAGCACGGAGAGGGGGAGCGGTCACATGACCAGCAGAGTGTCGCCAACACTTGTTGTACTGGTGGGAGCCGTCCGTGCCCAGACCCGCAGCCGTGGGCTCGCCAAACACGATCTTACCTGGAGTAGTAGGGAAGAACATGCGTCACATGATAGAGAATCATGGGTCTCAACTCAGAATTTATTTAGTTTTAGTTTTAGTTTTAGTAGAGGTTTTACGGCGCTCGCAACTGTATAAAGTCATATGAGAGCAAGAAGATTAGAGGTGTTGCAAGAGAGTAACAAACAAAAAAAGGAGGGGAGATATAGACGATAGATGCTTGACAGGAAAGAAGAAACAAACCACACCAGAGCACCCGCTAACCACCCACACAGAACAATAGTAAAAAATGGTAATAAAATCTGCCATAAGAAACAGATGGAAAAGATCCCACCCTAATGATAACAGACGTGATCCCACTACATGCTAAATAGAGCAGACCGAGTCACGATCTTTCGACTCCTTTGTGGCCACAACAGACCCAAACAACATACACTAAATTAAAAGTGGGAGAGTCCGTGATCTGCGAATGTGGACACGACCAAGAGGATGCCGACCACATCCTTCAGCACTGCCCGCGCTACGCCACCCTTCGCACACAGACGTGGCAGAGAGAAAGCTCTAAGGCAGTTTCTCAGATTTGAAGCGGACTGCACAGTTTGTGCGCAACATCGGACTGACTGAAGACCAATTTCGTGAGACACCCATTATTATCGTACTGTTTAACCCTAGAAAGTGAAAATAAAAACCATTAATTTATCAAAGCAAGAAGGTTATTTCATACCAATTTGAGGGTTTGGAAGATAATTTCGAGTAAAAGAGTCAGTTAACAAATATTATTTACAATCTTGATCATGTATAGAAAGTGGTGGCGCATTACTGGAAGGTGCCCCTCCCAGCAGCGGAGTTTAGCTGAGGAAATGGCGGTAGCGTAAATCCACTAAATAGCCGAATATAGAGTCAGGCACGGAAAACCTTAACTCCTTTTCTTTGTATGTTACTCTCTAGTCTAACATCTATCCTCCTAAAAATCTCTTCTCCGCCTTCTCTTTGTTACATTCCTCTCTAGTAACACCTCTACTCTTCATCACTTATAAATACGACCTATTTGTGTTGCATGCAAAAGGGAGTTAAACATTAACTTTCTCTCCCTTTCTTTTTTATGTTTTTGTTACTCTCTTGTAACACCTCTAATCTTCTGGCGCTCATATGACCTTATGCAGTTGCGAGCACCATAAAACCCCTACTCCTAAAAACATTAACGTTTTAAAAAATAATAGAAGAAAAACAACAACAACAAAAACTAACC